CCCCCCCCCAACAGGGGGTGTTGCCTCCGAAAGGCTGCCAAAATTTTTGGTGATTTGGCCTTATAATTGCTTTAATTGCTTTAAAGTATTCAAAATTTTGAACTTTAAAATTAAAAAAAAAACACCACTCATTTTAATTTTAAAATGATTGCGAAAACTCAAGCTTTTAAAAATTGGGCTCTCAGGGTTATAAAATACCGAGAACCCTGACATTTAAACATGCAGACTTTTTAAGTTTCTAGCTTTTAAAACATAAAACTTTAAGAGCTTAAAATAATGAAAAATCAGATTTTAAAATGTAAGATTGGAAAACTTGAAAAATATTTTGAAATTAAGCTATTCAGACTTAGGCTCCTAAGTTAAAAAAGATCAATTCAAAGTTTGAGTTATTCGAACTTAGGTTCCTAGGGGCAAAGCATAATTCAAATAATGAGTTTCTTAAAACTTGAAATTCACCGCCACCAGATTCACAATGTGTTATAACTAACAAACAAAAAACGATTTTCAAAAGTTCAAAATGAATATATATTTATTAATGTATATACATATTCAGGTGACAATTTATATAATTTCAAGTTGCTATTTAAGGCGATGATTGATTTAATCCATATAAATTGTCGTAAAATACCAAATGTTCAGCTGAAATAGCCCAAATATATAAAAGTAAATGTCCACACGTGCTCCAACCAACATATAAAATGTTTAAATACTAGGTTCAAGAATGTTACGCGGGCTAATCAGACTTGTCTTATCCAGAGGATAAGATTGTATGTCTCACTCCACTAATTCAATCCTCCTCAACAGAACTGGTGTTGTCGAATCTAGTAAACCCTAATAAACGTCCAAATGTTCAAATAAAAAATTTACAAGCCAAATCACCAAATTAGTTCAATCCTCCTCCTTATAAGGACGGGAGTCAACAGGATTTATACTTTAAAAAGCTTCAACTATCAAAATTAAGTGCCCCATTTCAAATATAAATACTTCAAAAACATCAACTCTCGATGATGATCATGTTAACCTAAGAATTCAACCGGAGGGGTCAATCTTTCAAATCAATATTTTCCAAGCAACTAATCAAACATTCAAATTAAATTCAATCACTTAAAAGACTTAAAACAAATCTCATTAACCCCCCCGCAACAGTTTGTCGAGAATGACAAA